AGAGAGCTCTGAAGACTGAATTCCTCTGCCTTGTGGTAGTAAGAACCAGATAGTGCTGCCGTCTGCAGGATTATGCAGTGAGATTTCAGCTGATGAATCAGAAGGTCAGCCCACCAGAGATGTGCACTCTGGTGGAGACAGGCCCAGATGCAAGGCTCTGGGAATGCTGCCTTTGCATGGGGGCTGCTCCTGCTGTGACTCCCTTGTGAAGCCTGGTGCTCTGCTTCTGTAGTGGGACTCATCCCAGAGCTTCACCAGCGTATTAGTTAATTGTTGGGCACAGTTTCTCCCATGCACTGGTATACTGGGTGACTTTTACCCCACACTGGGGGACCTTTGTGAGAAAGTTAGTCACACAGCCAAAAAACCTTTGTTCCCCCAGTCAAATCTCTGCTCCGTTCCCTGAAACAAACTTAGAAGCCAGCTTCCCACATGATATTTTATGGCAGGACATTTAACTAAAAGAAGAATCTTGTAAAAATATCACATTTGGGACCTTTCAGATAGGCACAGGTACAAAAATACAGCATGTCTGAGCTTGTTGATTCATAGTCATCATAGTAAGGAGGACTGGGCATCCTGAATTCACCAACAGCCATTATGGGAAAGTGCAACTTCAGTTAACCCTGCTCTAACCTTAACAGGCTATTAATACCCTGCACTTACTCTCACCTCGGTGTATTGACACAAGATTTTAGTCTAGAAAACTTACTGTTTGTGCCGTAACCCTGAGAGATAACAGGGAAAAGCTATTGACCATTTAACCAGCTCTAGACAAAGGTAATCCTCTTCACATGCGCTCTGGGAACAAACGCTCCCATTTGGCCTGGGCGGCTGGAAATGGTCTGGCCCTGAATTTTGTACTCTATAACCATAGATTTCCCTTTGTTGTAACTGCTTAGGGTGAAAGATGTAATTCTTAGATCTGAGAGGTCCTGGTTAGTCAGCTATCATTGGAGAAAATGCCAATGCAGACCAGGCTCCCTAAGTCTCCTTCCACAATTTACACCAGTTGCCAGGACTACCCTGACGCTGTTCCCAGGTGCCACAGTTCTGGTGAGCCAAGAGAGTGCCAGTCGCTGCATTCCTCTTCTCTTTTATATTTATCAATCACAAACTTCTAGTCTAATATAACACATTAGGAATGCAGCACACGAACTCCCCCTTTCCCTTCTTAGATTTTAAATCTCTTTAAATTGATCTTTTTGCCTCTTGGAGATGCCTGGGAGTTTCACGAGCCGAGACTCCCTTGAGCCATAAAGTGAACTGACAGTGATGCCTTCTGCAGCTCTTACCTGTTTTATGATCCTCAGAAATTCAAGTCTTGTAACCTTGTTATTGCTAGGGAATAGCTGTGAGTGTGCGCGCGCGTACATATACTATAAACTGAAAACATTGCATAATGACAGAAGAATACAGAGACTGATTCGGAAAAGCACCTAGTGAGAGATTCATTTGCCCTCAGATATCCTGAGTCCATCGCTGGCTGTTGCATCCCTTCTGAGCCCTGCGAGGGTCTTGGGACTGGACTCCCAAGGCTCTCATTAAGATGGTACTTAAATAACGGCAGCTTTGAGTAGGTCCTTACCTCCCTAGCTTATACTTTAGTCATGAACCCTTAACATTTCAGTTACTTTTCTACTGCAAAACCTTGTGGCCTTCTGGAGCTTTGATTTTTCTGTTTGTTTGTTAAAAAAAAAAATCTTTTTTTTCTCCAGTTTTCTAAGGCTTTGCACATTTCTCCTGTTTGTTGTCCTTAGTCAAATTGAGAATGAATAAGAGAGGGACATAAACTACACTGAATTTGGAGGAGAAAACAAAGGTCCTAAGTGTTAGAATTTCTGGCATCACCTAGCCAGCCCCAGGGTCCTACAGCCCAACATGCATCGTCAGTACTCAG